AGAAATTTAGAATATATATATATATATATATATATATATATATATATATATATATCCATCCGTCAAAACTTCTAACCATTAGTTTTTATATGTTAGAGTGTATAGAGATACTCAAGTACCATCTTCATCTTACAAGCATGTCTTTCTTAATTGTGAAAACTTCAAAATACCCTAAATATGTCCATCCTTTCTAGCCATATGGTAATAGGGATTTGCAAAATTTTTAACTTTGTGCATCAACTCCTAATTCATGTTCTTTTGATTTGATATAATTGTTGAATCTAAGTTAGTCCATATAGAGATGCGATTGGCTTGATTTTCATGAACATCAGAATCCTAAGTTAATCTATCTAGAGATGTGATTGGCTTGCTAAAATAAATAAAAAAGAACCGGAATCGTCCCGAACTAGAATCGGAAAAGGTATAATTTATATACCAACACTCTTGTTCAGTTCAATCTGTACCAATTAATTGTAAATTTGTAAAGTATTTAAGGGTATTTTGGTCTATTAATTAATTATTTAAATTAGAGAGTTTTTTTGACAAAGTCAAAGGACATTTAAGTCATTTTACGAGCTCTGACACATGTGTAAGTGACGATTGGGTGTGAGTGAAAGACGGAACAAATATTTGCACTATGAGTGATAATAATTTTCGAGAGTTGTTTCAATGTGATATTTGGCCAAACCTAAGGAGGTATTAGTGAAATTAATCCAAAAAACTAATATGAATCCAAGTTAATTTAATTTTAACACAGTTAATAAAATTATTTTAAAAACATATTTTTGGGGGTTTTGTCACAAATAAGACAACAAAATCAAAATAAGAAATAAAGAAAATTTCAAGAGACAGGAATCCACCACCACACATATAAATAAATAAATAACCTAATTTTCATGTATAATTTCTCCTCAAAGAATATACACTCCACCAGTCCAATTAGAACTTGAGAAGAAGAAAGAATGTATGATATTAAAACTTAACTATTTACAAGAAAAATTCTTGTAAAATCTTTTTGACTTCTTTCACTACCTCTTGCTAGCCAGAGAGAATAAATAGTGGTCGTCATTTCCTATATGTCCATTATCTGGCCACCCCGAAGAATCTGCCCTTATACCTCTAGTAAATGTATTGTAAATAGTTTTAAGGATTTTCCATTGCACTACACTACACTACTATGGACGCTAAGTGACATGTCACGAAGAATACTCCCTCTATTTTTATCCACTTCTAAGTAAATATTAGCTGGCATTCCCGTATGTCCATTAATTAGCCATTACGAAAAATTCATCCTTTTACTTTTTAGCCGAACATTCATTGAAAAGTTTATATCATTAAGATTCACAAAACTACTATCTTAGAGACAAATTAATACAAGAAATAAGAGATATTTATCTAAACATTTCATCAATTTCTTAAATTAAATGAAATGTAATACTGTACTTACTCTCTTTTACTCTCTCCTCTTTCCAGGTTGGACATCTTTTTGCTCCCAAGAGATTTGAACACTAGAACTTCATGGATATAATTCCAGCACCCCCTACCAACAGGTCTGCTGCGGCGTACTTGTGTCAAGCCACTGATTATAATTAATGTAACCTTTGCTTTCTCTAATTTCTTCACTAATTCTCCATTTTTGCTTCTTTCCTTCTCATTTTTCAATTAACACATATAAAACATTAAATATACATATAATAATATTTAAAAAATAAAAATACTAATAAAATATATATATATAATAATAAATTTTGTGCACTTATTATGTAGCTAGAAGAAAAAAAAAAAAAAGACTATGGACATTTTTATTTTTACTCTCACACCCACTTTATATCCAAAATACTACAATTAACTAATAACATTATCTCACCAAAGAATAAATCATTAAATTGCAACATAATTAATCCTATTTTATATGAATAATATGTAATCATAAAAATATAAAATTTATATAAAAAAAAAAAATTATTTATTTATTGGTAAATTAAGCACTCATTTGTCCCTCTAATTATTAACCTTACATTTAGAAATTATACCCTTTGTTTATGGGAAAGTCAATATATATATATATATATATATACATATATCTATCTGAGAGAAGAAGATATATATATAGTTAGTGAAAGAAAAAGAAAAAGAGGTGCTTAATTTTGGGGCATTTTGGTTACTTAAAATGAGTCATATGGGTAATTATGTCATTTTATATCTAAAAATTAAAATACATTTTTTGTAAGCCAATAATAAGTCAAATAAGTAACATAGTCATTTTGCATTCAAAAGTGTTTTGACACTTTTAAAAAAGACATTTGGGGTGTAAGTAAAATACAGATCAATTCTTCAAATTTTGTATGTAAGTTAAAACTAAAATTTCTATCTAACCTGATCAGGTATCAATGTAATTTACCCAATGAAAAAACTAAAAAAATTTCATTTTAAATAAATTGAGAATTCCAACTTTCCTTATTTGCCCACTCAGGCCGCCGAAAAAGATAAAAAACAGTTTTACCCTTATACAAAAAAACCCCTTGCTTGTAATTTCATACTGCCTTGCGTATATTCCCCTCATCCTTCCTCATCCTCACCTTCCACACCAACGTTAAGAATGGCATGCGCTACGTTACCGCCTTCATCAATCGCGACCCTTCTCTCAAATCCCTCCTCTCTCGCATCGACATCTCCGACAATACCCTCCATTTGCCCACTTACGCAGTCATGGTGGAGATCGAGCTCAGCAGTTATCGGCGAGTAAGGGGGTTTTTGACGGCAGCCGGCGAGCAAGAGAAGCTCGGCTGGCCCAGCGGTGGGCGAAGGGCTTCGAACGGCCTTGATTGGCCTATGCCGCCATCTCCATAGTCGGGCACAACCTTAATTCCTTAAATCAGTTTATGGATATCTCTATCCTCTTCACCCAATTTTCTCTCTCTTCTCTATTTCCTTTGAAGACCAAAAGGCAAACCTTCATCTCTACACCAAACCGAGAGCGGCGTCTACACCATGAACTTCAGCAATAGCCTTGATCAGAACACCACAGCGATTTTTGTGTCGCCCTGAAAGAGTATGACCGGTTTGTTTTTGTGACCTGGTTCTCGCCATGGATGGTAGCGAGCTTTGGGTCGTTACTGTAGCGACCCAGCAAGCTATGGAGGACAGCGACCGTTTTTGGGTTGGTGGGCGTCGTTTCTGGGTTCGTCCTCGCAGGATACCTCGTCGGCGCCGTTTCTGGGTTCGTCGGCAGCGAGTTTGTGATTTGGGGATTTTTTTTTTTGGTTGAATATGATTTTTTGGTGAAATTTGGTAAAGCCATGTTTGGCTATTTTTTTTGTTTTTTTGGGAAAGCCATGTTTGGCTTTGTTGCTTAGGACTGGGATATTGGGGTCTAATGGTTGAAAATTAAGGACACTTATGTCCTTTCATGCTTATAAGGGTTATATGGTCTTTCAAAATAATTTAACAAATTTTAACGTTAATTCTCACCGGACCTTGGCCAGATAGAGTCATCTGTAACTTTTTGGCCCAGTTTAGGGGGTTTCTTGTATTTTTGATAGTTCAGTTAGATACAGATTTTCTCATAGTTTAGATGATTTTTTTGCACTTTTTCTTATAATAAATTGATGATACAGGTAACAAAGTATTAAAGTTGCAACAAAAAAATATATAAAAAAACACACTTTTTACCCATGAATTTCATTCCAAATTCCAGCAAAAATCAGAGTGAATTGGATATCAAAAAAGATCGAAATTATGATTTACCTGAACTTGAGAAGAAGCCTATCTAAAAGAACAATGGGTTGGCTTTTGGACTTCGATGGGATAAGAAGGGGACACCTTTCTAGGGCTCCGATTTTGGAGAGAGAAGAAAAACGTATATATTTTTTATAAAAGTTGTTTGACAATCCTAATTTCCTAATAATTGTAGGAAATAATTTTTTTTTAAACACAAAGTGTCTTTTGTATTTAAAATACTAATTTCTCATCCAAATATATTATTAAGCATTAAAGTACTCTTTAAATTTATAATTGATTTTAGGTTACCTTTGGATATGTTGGAATATATATGTTTCAATATGTTTGTGAGATAATTAATAATATGTTAAGATATAATTAATTAAATATTTAATAAAATATAAAAATAAAGTAATAATTAAATAATTAAATAAAATAATAAACTTAAACCGAAACTAATATTTGATATCATGTCCTTGAGATAATTTATACCATGCAATGATTTTCATCTACCAATTAGCAGCCCGCTTAATCATCTCACCATCGTCCACATCAATACTGGGCTCATCACATGCAGAATCCCCTGAAACAGTATACCCGTGGAAGTCCCTATCTGAACCTTCTAAAATCTCTTCTTCACCATCCACTTCAGGCACCGGCCAAAGTATCTGAGTACCCAGACCCAACCCCCCACCTTTCTTCTCTCTCTCTCTCTGAGTTTAATGAATACTTCACTAGTAAAACTAAGGCCCGAACACACTGATTTGAAGTCAAGACGGAGGACTTCGACCACTATATACATATATACACACTACACATTCATAGTGCCTTAGTTCAGCGATGAAGCTGCAGTCGGTTTAAAGAAGTAAATCCGCCACCAGTTGGACTTCTATTCATGTTCAAGCAAGTTATGTCTTTCTCACTGCAAAACTTGGAAAAATGGGCTTTTGGGCTGTATTGTATTTTAGGCTCATAAACTACTGTTTCATCATACTATCTGACTCACAGTAATAACTTCCTACAATCTAGAAATAACTGGTGGGTGATCCTTGCCTTCGAGATCACTGTTTAAACCATTTTTCTTCTCTCTACCACCAGTAGAACAAAAAACCCAGAAACACAATCTAGGCTTGCGATGAAATTTTGACCCATTCGTGTCGAATTATAGGCTGATTATCGAAAGCACTACATTTATAAACTTATAATCACGATTTTGAAAGTTAAAATTGTATTGATTATTTGAAAAAGAATTTGAGAATTTGTTTTCGTTCTTCTCAACAGGTCCTGCTGGAACTGAAAGTGTTAGTGTGCATCATAATGTACTGTCCCCAAGGCGTCCGATAACATCAAGGGCAATATTGACTAATGGTGAATCTTTTTTTTTTTTTTCTTTAATTGTTTTATATTCATAATTTTTTCTCTATTCTCAATTGAATATTGAATTAGAAGCATTTCTCACTTTGTTATATATATATTTACATATATAATAATAATAATTCAACAGCAAGGGGTCAAAACTTGGATGTGGCTGATACTGCTCCGATCACCAATCTATCCCCAAGGGGGCTGATCTCATCTAGGGTGCTACTTTGTACCGGTGAATCCTCTTTTCTCATCATTTTATTGATTTCTTTGTTTATGGAATTTAATTTCTGTTTTAATTTGTGTTTTTGTAACGTCAATTCTGATTGCCATTTCTGCTAATAAACAAATATACAAAACTTGATTCTCTACTTTATTCTCTCTCTCTTATTTAATGAATACTTCACTAGTAAAACCAAGGCCCGAACACACCGATTTGAAGTCAAGACAGAGGATTTCAACCCCTACACACACACAAACACTCACATTACCACATTTATGGTAACCACAAATAGGCAATAACCATGTTTCTAACTTGATTAAATGGCTGTATTCTTCCTTTAAATGAAAACAACCACTTAAACCTTATTAGTTTTCCAACCATTGATCTCATCCTCAAAGCTTGCACATTATCATTCCTTAAAGCCACCATAAGTTTCTCCATCCTAGCAATAGTTTGAGTCCTTTCAAACTTCAATCTCATCAATTCAAACTACAACAATGACAACTATCTGAGGGAAAGAAATTAGACAACCCGCAACAAGGATGCAAACAATCATAAAATTATTCTGAGCTCATAAAATTTCGAGACCAAAACAGATCAAGTACCATAACGTCTAAATTTAAGAAATTGTTGACAGCAATAACTAAACAACTCTTGCTTGCTACAAACTTTACAACATGGTTGTTTGCCTCTTCAGACTTGCAAGTTCCAACATGGTTATAGTCCCCTTCAGATATTTTTTTTTTTTTTAAGTTTCCTCCATTGCACAGCTTCAAGTAAAGACTTCAACATCCACAAGGAATAGAGAATTGATAAACCATTCAACATGTCAACTACTGATAACTACCCTTTCAAGCACACGAATGAACTTTGGAAAGAAAATTCCACCATATATCACTACCAAACTAAATAAATAAGATTAAAGTAACTTCAAAAAATTTCAATATCCCATTGCATGATCCTAACCCAATCTCCACTGAAAATCAGGTAATGGAGCCTCTAAATGAGGTTGCCTACACAGAATTATAAAAATACTCTAGCTGACTGTTCGGATAACAATTGGAACTCCTTAGTGGTCCAACTCCCATTTATAATGCTCCTATAAACTATTGTTTCATCATACTCTCTGACTCACAGTAATAACTTCATACAATCTAGAAAATAACTAGTGGGTGATCCTTGTCTTTGAGATCAAAATTAACTATTGAGTCACTGCCTTTAGGGTAAAATGCAAGAAACCCCTTGAACTACAAAAAAACCCCTAAATTATGTTTTTGTTGCATTTTACCCCACCAACTCACTTTCCGGTAATGAAAAAGCCAAAAGGCCATGTTGCCCTTATAAAACGACCCAGATTCAAGGATTTATGGACTTGCTTATTTGTAAAGTACAATCTCAAAACCCAATCAAATTGCGACAACACAGCAATAGTGATAAGGTTGTCTCTCTCTCTATATACATACATACAAACACCTTTTTCTCTCTCTAAAGTTATGGTACACAGAGCTCTCAAAAACCACCATCCCGGACCTCCCACTGATGCAGAGAATTAACCTTCTTTCTCTCTACTTTACAATCCTTCTTTTGAAGAACAATTCACAGTCCATAGTCCCAACTCAGAAACCCTAGCATTCAATAACTATGACTTCGATGGCCATTCTTCCTATGAACTGCTCGAAGGTGTGATGACCATCAATTTAAAGGGTTTCTGAAAATATGCCATTCATGATGAGGCAAAATCGAATCCAGAGCAATTTGTGAAGTTTTTGAATTCTGGAGTGATCAAGTCGTCGATGGCTTCGTCACTGTAGAAACATCTGGATTTCTTGTTCAGTTGGGTATAACTGTTCATTCTCCTCTCTTTGGGTGCCCAATTCTCATTATGAGACCTAACGAAGTGGGTCTTCCTCTTGTGCCCATTACTACCACCACAATCCTTCTCAAAACCCAACTCTGAAATTGACCACTCAGTTCCTATATTCACCTTTTTTTTTTGATAATTTTATTTTTTTAAAATAAATTTTATTTATTTATTTATTTTTGATAATTCTTAGTTCCTATATTCACCTGAGCATTTTGTCCCAACCTTTTTGTTCTTTTTTATGTTATAAAAAAAGGATTTATGTTCTTTGAGAAGGTTGTAATCTAGAGATAAATTTAATCACAAAAATTGATTTTGGCATTGAACTATGTTTTCTTATTACATGCTTAATTTGAACGTGTCAACGTGGTGAATGAAGTGTGTGTGGATGAGATAGATTGGTGGAGATTGGGTTAAGCTAAGTTGCAGAGATTTATTTATTTATTTTGTCAAATAAGTATGAAAGAGGGATGTGTGTGTATATATATATATAGTGAGAGAGTTTCAGTGAGGACTTAGGAGAGACGATATATATATGTATGTGTATATATAGAGAGATCGTGAAAGATGACAGAGAGAAGAGACGTGGTGTTTGGGTAGGTTATAAGGTGTTTAGATTTACCAGCTACAATAATTTTGAAAATCAAGGATTGCAGATGGGTAAATCATGTAGTATAAATGATTCCTCGGCTCCCCCCACTCTGATCCCAACAATCAATTCCTCGGCTTCGTCGTCGCTTTTAGTCAATCAATTCACAGCCACAAGATCTCCTATTCTTGCCGCCCAAAACGTGTATGCCCTGTAATTGGACTAGATCAGAGTAATCAGGAAAGGGGATAAACACACTGCCTTGTTTACAGCAGGCAGTGTGTTTTGGTCAACAAGATGTTTTATTTTTTATTAATTTATCAAAAAGATGTGAAAAAGATGATGAACAGTGTTTTCTCTCTCTCTCTATGTATGTATGTATGTATATATGTATGTATATGGACATAAGGATAATGGTGCGTTTGGATGTAATAGTAAGTTAAAGGGTGTGTTTTGGACCTTTTGGTGTAATGATAAGGGGCAATGGAGTCTTTTCCTGATCATAAGGGTATTATAGTCATTAAATTGTAAGTTTAAATAACCCATTCCCTGACCTCCCCTAGGGTTTGTCCAAACATCCCACTAAATATAATCTTTATTGCTAATTTAGAATTTTTTTCTCAGTTCTCAATTGAATATTGAATTACAAGCATCTCTAAAATGTTTCTCACCTTGTGTTATATATATATATATATATATATATATATAATAATTCAACAGGAAGGGGTCAAAACTTGGATGTGGCTGATAATGCTCCGACCACAGACGTACCCCCAAGGGGGCTGGGCACATCGAGGGTGCTACTTTCGATTGGTGAATCCTCTTTTCTCATCATTTTATTAATTTCTTTGTTTATGGAATTTATAATTTGTGTTTTTTTAACATCAATTCTGATTGCCATTTCGACTAATAAACAACTATTCCACTTTATTCTCTCTCTCTCTTAGATTTGAAAGTTTAATGAATACTTGACAAGTAAAACTAAGGCCCGAACACTTCGATTTGAAGTCCTATATATATTTACACACTCTCACATTACCACATTTATGGTAACCACAAATAGGCAATAACCCATGCTTCTAACTTGATTAAATGTGTCTATTCTTCCATTAAATGAGGACAACCACTTAAACCTTATTAGTTTTTTGACCATTGATCTCATCCTCAAGCCACCAACCAATGTGTTGTTTTGTCTTCATATGATAACAAAATAAGTACATTATGCATATACATGTCTTGGATAATAAATTCACCTTAAAAGAATTGCTCTGCATCTTTAACCTCTAGTGTAAAATCGCAAGTGAAAATAGCATTGCGCTCCTCAATCCAGAAAATTATTTGATAATAGGCCTCTATCGAAATTTTCCCCCTATTTACACGTTTTTTTTTTTTTTTTTTTTTAACAAAATTAAAAAATCTGTCAAATAAAGCACAGAAGTACCCGATACAGAACTGTATTGGGTAAAGAGCAGACATGTATACTTCTTTTGAAAATAGTACACACACACATGATATTTCACTTTAAAAAACACATACATTGTATGCTTCAGAACATAGAACTCCTATTTATTCAGTAATTACTAGCATAAATATTTGGCAAGATGGGCAATCCCAATAAATCTGATTGTTCAAACATTTCTACACTATTGGATTTTTACTAAACGAGACCATCAAATCTAATATTATCCACTATCATATATATGATAACCAAATGGTACATTCACAAAATTGAAATGGGTCGTCCAAATATTATATCAAAAAAAAGGGTTTTCGTTTCAGGGTCTTACCCATCATAGCGTAGATGTTATGTGCTGATGCCGCCGAAGCTCTTTGCTCTGCTCTCTGAGTTGAACATTGAAACGAAAACAAGTTGTATTTATTTTTTTTGTTTGACGACGACAACCTAACCATCTCAGTGTGATACAAAGCTTGTGTCGAAGCTCTTAATGGAGCAAGCGTTTACTGGTGCAAGGTGCGCGAGGTCAAGAACAAGAAAGTGTGTGTAATTCGTTCTATTTAAAAAATAAATAAATAAAGAAAATATTGTTTTAAAATTTTAATTTTTTATTAAAAATATTTTTGTCATTATATAACATCACTTTGCAATAATTAAATAATAATTTTATCATTTGTGTCAAAAATATTGAATTGGAGAGTGTTAAACTTACAAGCCAACTATAACTATACTCTCCTTAACGAACTCCAAGATCTTTTACTATTAAAGATGGAAAATACAACAACTCTGAACATTTTTTTAAATTCTTTATCAACTCATTTTGTTACCTATTTATATATGTACTGTATATATTTTATTAATAATAATAATAATAAAAGGCATTAGTAAATTTTGTATTAAACATTATTATTTTAGAGTTAGCACTGCGTGGGGCAAGATATGATGAACCCATTGTGTTTCGACTTTCGAGGATAGAGGAATAATAAATAAGTAGATTATACAAACCGACTAGGCATATACAACACGGTATGTATTAATGCGAAGTTGATGTGATGTCATAATTTTTATTTTTATTTTTATTTTTTATTATTAGTTTTTTCTCTTATGCCAAGGTTTTTTGGTCTCCAAAAGTCATTTAAAATGTCATTTTCTTTTATTTTCATAGGATTTGCAATTTGACATTCACCATTTTTAGGAAATTTAATCAACCAAACCCAAATGGTTACAATTATCATTTCAGGTTTTCCAGTTGCAAACAAATAAATATCTTCAACTCGTATTTTTTTAATTAGTGTTAAAATCATAAAATTTCTTTGTCCTATAAATCACATTATAATTAAAAAACTCACTGAACTAAAAAAAGTTTATCAAGTTGCCCTCATATCTAACCCGTTAATTTAGTTGTGAAATGATAAATTTGTCCTTGCAATTTAATGTTAAATTAAAATGTTGATAATAATATATATATATATATTTTTTTTTTTTTTTTTTTTGTAATTTTAAAATAGCAAGGTCAATTTTGTAATTTAACATTAAATAATAATTTTTCAATTTAAAACAAATTTGTAATTTAACATTATTTAATGGTCCTTTATTAAAATAATAATTCTCAGCATTTTAATTTAACATTAAATAACAACGTCAATTTTGTTATTTTACAACCAAGTTAATGAGTCAATCACGGATATGGGCCAACTTGATAACTTTTTTTGGCTCAGGAATTTTTTAATTCTACTGAGTTTTATGCACAGTTTTGAAAGTAATTTTTTTTAAAATAAGATATAGGTAAAATTATATTTTGCTATAAAGTGACAGATGGAAAGATAAATAGTGACAAAATTTAAAATTTAACCATTTTATGGTGTATTAGGTATATATATATATTTTATAATTTAACAAATCTACTCTTATATGTAATTCAATTGGAGCGGGAGTGGGAGCCGGAGCATGAAAGTGTCGAAGTGTAAAAAAATTTAAAGCACAAGTGTCGTATATTAAGTTTAAAAAGAATTATATCATGACATAAGTTTTGCAATTTTTATTTATTTATTTAAATCTATATGCAATATATTTATTATTATTTATTTCATTAATGATGTATGTAATAAATAAGCTAACTTATTTCACTAATTGATGTGTGGCTTAAGTTAGTGGTGAGTTATTTGTAATATTCTCCAATTCGGAATTGGTATTTTTTCAATTATGTATTATGACTAGTGTGTGTGTCATATATGATGGTACAACTATGCCATACAGTTGGGGCACACGTGGGCGCGTTAGTAATTACTGTATTAACATGGAGTGTTAGTAATGCATATATTTAGTAGTTGTGTAAGTAATTAATATATGCATGTATGATAATATAAGTGTGCCATATAACTTAGAGTGTAAGTAATTTATCCATATGGAGTGAAATTGTTTGAAAATGACGAATTAGAAAAACAAATTCACAAATCACAAAAATTGAATAAGCAAATTTTGTACGAATCGCAATCCGCGTGTGAAGCTTGAGAGCAAAACCTTTTTGGATGGATTGGGTGACTCTATATACTTAAACGTTGATTTGAAAAAATAAAAAATAAAATTAAATATTGTCTTGTTCATCTTCTTTTCCGATACGAATACTGCACCTCTGCGTCAAGAGGGGGTCATATTTGTGTTCAGGTAAACAATACCCTCTTTAGAGGCTCCTCGGTCGAAATTTGGCACTATATCAACCTTTGACAATTAAGAACATTATTATTATTATTATTTTCTGGTATGTGATTGTCCGTCTTATTTCCTTGTAATGTGGGAATTCTATGCTTGGACTATGATGTATTTTCACATTAATTGAGCTGTCACGATCACTTTACACAAATATAAATTTTTTTCTTTACATATAATGATATATGGCGTCGATATTCGCTTTAGCTATACTTGTGAGTCTTGTGATTTAGATTTTTTATTATTACTTTTTTTTGAAAGGTAAATTTTAATATATATATATATATATATATATATATATATATATTGTATGTACAAACAATGTGTACTGGCCCAAAAAGAAAAATGGTTAGCCCAAACTAACAAAATAAACAAAACATTTGACAAACCCGAAAAGGGAAACCAGGCCCAATTGGTTGGGCCTGGTTGGAGGCCCAACCAGCAGCATTTCAAATGGAGCAGACAGTTGGAACTTGGAACAGAGCAGCTCCTCAATCCGGAAACAGCCATTGGAGAGGACTCCTCGAGTTTGTAGAGCTGAATTCGTGGAAAGTTTCTTCTTCCTAAGGATCCTTTTGTTGCGTTCACACCGAACATTGTAAACAAGGGATGCGAGGGCTAGTCTTGAAACTAATTTACTGTGGTTTGATGAGTTCGCCCTCTAATGATGGGAGCTCCATGTCACAAGCTCTGACCAAGATGAAGGTAGAGTATGAAATCCACAACGTGTTTGTAGAAATGACCACAAGAGATTGACAAAGGAGCATTTGAAGTGCAACAACTCACTCCAGCACATGGTATGATATTGTCCGCTTTGGACCTGACCCGCACAGTTTTGCTCTTGGGCTTTACCTCAAAATGCCTCATACCAATTAGAGGTGACACATTTACATATAAGCACTTCACCTTTCCTCTACCCAGGCAATGTGGAACTGTGCACCCGTAACTCACCAGTGTAGTAGCCTGACAGTGTCTCTCGCACCCGCCCACGGCACACCCGCCTTTGGAGGCCCGACGTCCCCGTCGGCACACTTCCGACTGGGTCAGGCTCTGATATCATTTGTAACAACCCACTCCACCACATGGTCTGATATTGTCCGCTTTGGACCTGAGCCCGCACGGTTTTGCTCTTGAGCTTTACCCCAAAAGGCCTCATACCACGGTTTTACTCTTGGACTTCACCCCAAAAGGCCTCATACCCCAAAAGGCTTCATACCACGGTTTTGCTCTTGTGCTTCATCCCAAAAGGCCTTGTACCAATTGGTATGAGGCCTTTTGGGATGAAGTCTAAGAGTAAAACCGTGCGAGCTCAGACCCAAAAACGGACAATATCATACCATGTGGTGGAGTGGGTCGTTACAAATGGTATCAGAGTCTGACCCAGCCAGAAATGTACCGACGAGGACGTCGGGCCTCCAAGGGGGGTGGATTGTGATGACCTTGTGAGCGGGTGTGCTGTGGACGGGTGTAAGAGACACTTGCAAGCTACCACCCTGGCGAATTACGGGTACACAATCCCACATCGCCTGGGTAGAAGAAAAGTGAAGTGTTTATATGTAGGTGTGTCACTCCAATTGGTATGAGACCTTTTGGGGTGAAATCCAAGAGCAAAACCATGTAAGCTCAGACTCAAAGCGGACAATATTATACTATGTGGTGTAATGAGCCATTACAGTGTTCATGAGCTCTCGGGGGAAGGGAGATAAGCTGATGTAGAGGGCCTAAGTGACACCCGCTTATTACCAATTTCAAACTTGACAAGAGGTCGTGTATTGCTGCCCTGGGTTGGAGCAGTTTCCTCCTGTTCCAAACACACACACACACACACGCAAACATATATATGAAGGTTAAATTATATGCTGTTAAATGAAGGTTTAACTATTGTGTGTTCGAACTCAACATCTTCTTACCAACTTAAACATTTCCTGGACACCACCTTTTTTGTCAGATATCATTTATGAAGTTGGAAACTGTAACATCTAACATGTAAAACATCAGAAGCGAGATCAGAAATGCAAATTCTGTGTACATGTGTATACAGGATCACATGTTGACCTAAACATGTTTGCTCTTCGCTCTCTATCAGTTGTGCTTGGTGTCTCAAATTCTTGTCCAAGCAGAATACTGAGAAGCAAAAACCTCCAAGACACATTCAGTTCATAAATTAACTACAACTACTCGTAGCTAGATACTCGAAGTGGTTGAGCGACGCTATCTCCAGAAGCTGGGAGGGGAGGGATAGAGCAAACCTTCGACAATATTTGCACTGTTATTCTCAAGATTCAAAATCGCATTGTCACGCTTGGCAAAATACATAAATCCACCATGCATGTGATATTAATCCCTATTTTTCACATCAAAACAAAGACCACCTTTGTTAACCTCATTATATATATCACATTCCCATTGACAATGTCTCGAACAGGATATATATATATATATATATATCTACACACACACACACACATACCAAATTCACATTAACAATGTCTCTTAACTGGAAATGATAACAATGATCAATCACATCACTATACTCGTTCAATAATTTCACCTTCAGACTGGCATCGTACTGGAGTTTTTCTTTTTTCCTCGGAAATTCAAGATCATAATAGAGTTAGGGACTTGAAAAACAATTTTGATTTATTGAGTTTGAAATGTCCGAATACAATTTTCTTCCTATTTCACGAAAAGATATTTGCAGCTAGATAGAACATGTAATAAAATTTGAAAGAATGCTCATTCCATCTATCGGAAAAATAAGCGCAGAGTATATTCTACTTCACGGTATATTCTACTTCAAGAATCTGTATAACTAGAAGTGCAAATAACAATTAAGCTGAACCTTTGATAAGCATGCATATGACATAATAGTGCTTTTTATTTATTTTATACCACATGTACATATGCAAAATTTCCAAAAAGGAAAAAATAATATCTTAGCAGGATCACAGGAGTTCGGGTTGTTTAAGAAACAAGCCTTTTGTTTTCCGGTTGAAGATACCAGGTCCATAGCTAGTTGAAACCATGTCGAAAAATAAAGGAAATTGCAAAGAAACAAATAAGGTTATCGGTACACTAGCTAACAACGAGACTGGAGCAGCAGCCCATTGTATTCGTTCATTGAGCACAATAACAAGAGTGGAACCAAAGGCTACCATCATGGCGGCAATAGATAAGAAAAGGGTGGCAAGACCAATTGTCAATCTCCTCGGTAATGACACGAGGAAATCTTCTTCCGCATAGCGTGAAGTGAGGATGCTTAGGAACACTAACACCGAAGTAACTGACAAGAATAGAGATAATGAATCTGATATAATGAAAACCATAAAGGAGTTATTATGTAAGAACATAGGTTTCCCTGAATCATTATTGGTGCCACCTGGTAACGTGAAGGCTGCCGCAAACATAACAGTAACAATGAGGGTGGCCACGATTGTACAAGATGTTGCTGTATCTCTCATCCATTTTTCCCCTTCTTTGATTATTTTGTAGTGCCATTTCCAGAACAAAGCTGGAGGTGTTTCTCCACTATCGTTGGCAAGAATTTTTTGTGAAGATGGTACCACCCTCTCCACCTCCTATCATAATTAAAACGCAAGGACAACAGAGAAATGTAAGTTCGAAAGTACTTACAGTCAGGCTACAAGCTTTGTTCCACTATTTATATAAGTTTATGAGAGGGCTCAAAGACACTACTAATCACATCAATAGGTAATACTGCAGTTACAAAATAAAACTATTCTCCAAATGGATGGGAATGAATTGCTCCAACCTAAGAATCCCATCCCCACTTTTTAACGTTTCTATTGCAACTTTGCAAGGCAGAATCCAATCAACCCCCATCACGCTCTGTAACAGCAAATTGCATCTACCTAGGACAGTTTTTTTAGAAGGTTCTGCCAAATCCCTCAAAAGTTGTGGTCTACCTACACCCCACCAAACAACTCCTACAAGATGTCTAACATCTGTATCATTCTAGGTTTTCTAATAAGGTTTATAAATCACGGTTATAATTCTTTGAGAAATAAGCTTTCCCAAAGAAAGTATGCTGCAGGAGATTTAAAAATTTACTCATGTAAAATGTCATCTATGGCATGAAGTTCCCCAAAAGTAAACTAAACCACGATTTACTCAAAATGACACTCTATGACCAGAGCCAGAGGTTTAGATTATTATATAGAAAGTGAAGAATGGATTACCTTGTACCATTGTAGTTCTCTATGCACTTCCATAGCTGCACCTGGAGCATTACTGAATACCTTCCAGAACTGTTGTTCTCCTTGCTTTTCCGAGTTTCTGTCTGGTTTCCCTATGGTTCTAGACAATACTACAGGACATGCAGCTATATGTAGCATGCTGTCCGATTTTACTACAATTTCTGTAATTTTGTTTCTTTTTGCAGTACTTAAACCATAGAACAGGTTCCATATTCTCTCCTGACGGCAAGCAATAGCTATGTGAAAAATGCTTCCACTTTCCTTATTCCCCCATAATAAAGCAGGATTGGACCTCAGAACTTCCTCAACAAATTCAGTATTCCCACATTTGATGGCTCTTTTTATCGCCTCGAAGTATGCTTCAATCTGTTTAGGATCAGAAGTCGAGTTTGGATGACACATCTTTTTCAGTAGTTCATGGGCTTGGATATGTTTGTTCTTCATATTGAATATTTCTTGCTTGACATCTACAATTCTTACCCAAGAAAAAATAATTTAAAAATACTTAAAAATATTACCAACACAGTAACCATATAAACAGTAGTATTCTACGTACCAATGACTTTAAGAACATTTGACATTAGTCCTTGCAGACAACGGAGCACTGTTATGCATAGAAAAGAACAATTATCCCATCAGAATATATCTAATTCACATTTTGAAAAGATACAACAAAAAATGAGTTTGAACCCTGGCACCCTCCTTATATAGCCCCTCAAGTTACCAAGGTTAAGATGTACCAACGCAGTACAATGGCATCTCCTCTCCTTTCAAACCCAAGGTTAAGACAACCAATGATATGTATGCATCATAAGTCTTCTACAGATACACCTATGGCGGGATTTTAAATTCCAAGGGCAATGGGAACTACCACAAAGGTGCATTTAGGGGAGAAAAATATTTGGCCCAAATGCTGTACGGCGCAGACAATATGGGACGTTCGGAGGGGTTGAATCAATACAGGCCTAATCTTTGGCATAATTTGCAAGAAGTAACTGACCTAAAAGAGTGATACAAACAAAAATGATGATCCCAAGCTGTTTGTATAAATTTACACAAGTAAATGTGCATAGGCAGTCCGGTTAATTGGGTCCCAGATAGCATAGGAGGGACCTAGTTTTGTTAACATGGAAGACAATTCACCATCCACATTAACTCTCTAAACTCATTGCAACCACTTTTCAATGCATCCTAAATTCAAGCAGACACGCAAAGTTAATGATGAGTGAAAGATTCCCTACCATCTCATCCACACACAGTATGGCCATTATGAGTTCCTTGTGATGCCATTTGGTTTAACCAATGCGCCAGCAGCTTTTATGGACTTGATGAACCGTGTGTTTAGTGCCTATCTTGATGAGTTTGTGGTGGTGCTCGTTGACGACATTCTCGTGTACTCATCTTCGGAGGAGGAGCATGAGTCTTACTTGAGAACGGTGTTACAGATCCTTAGGGATAACCGGTTGTATGCCAAGTACACGAAATGCGAGTTTTGGCTATTGGAAGTGAAGTTCCTTGGACATGTCTCGAGAGGAGGAGTTTCAGTCGATCCTTCAAAGATTGGAAGCAGTGATGGATTAGGAGAGTCCAAAGAGTGTGTTTGAGATTCGGAGTTTCCTTGACCTACCCAGCTATTACCGGAGATTTGTAAAGGATTTCTCGCGTTTAGCGGTACATATGACATGACTTACCCGCAAGGGAATCAAGTTCATATGGAATGAGTCTTATGAGCTAGCCTTTCAAGAGTTGAAGAGCAGATTGACTTCAGCTCCAGTTTTGATCAAACCCGAGCGTGGTTTAGGTTTCGTGATTTATTTTGACGCTTTGCGCGATGGTTTGGGATGTGTCTTGATGCATACAGAGTGGGTAGTTGCTTATGGGTCTAGACAGTTGAAGTATCACGAGCAGAATTATCCGACTCATGATTTGGAGTTGGCGGCAGTGATTTTTAACTTGAAAGGGTGGAGACGTTACTTGTACAGAGAGAAGTTTGAAGTTTTCTTCGACCACAAGAGTCTCAAGTACCTTTTCTCGCAAAAGGAATTGAACTTGAGGCAACGACAATGGATAGAGTATATGGAGAATTATGGTTTTGATTTACAGTGTCACCCGGGAAAGGCCAATGTTATGGCCAATGCCTTGAGTAGAAAGTCACGTGGGACTATGGCTAGCATTGCCATTTGGAAATGGAAGATGATGGAGGATTTTGCGGACATGGGACATTATTTCAGTGATGATGGTGCACCAGCTACTTTGTTTAGCTTAATGGCTCAACCAATTGTTAGCGGGGTAAATGAGGCACAAAAACAGGATGGCAAGATGGAGTCCGTTTACACTTTGATTTTGGGTGGCGAGATTGTGGAGGATTAGACATTGCATTCTAATAGAGGTCTAAGATTGAAGGGGAAGATGTTTGTCCCTAGCCTTGTCGTAATGGTGTTCTATGGGAGTTTCATCACTCTCAATTTGCAGTTCATCCAGGTGATACTAAAATGTATCACAATTTGAGGTGCCAGTTTTGGTGAAATGGTATGAAGCGGGATGTAACGCAGTTTTTGGCCAAGTGCCTTACTTGTCAGGAAGTGAAAGCCGAGCATCAGAGGCAAGCGGGTTTGTTGCAACCATTAAAGCTAGCAGAGTGGAAATGGGAGCACATTACCATGGATTTTATGACAGGATTTCCGAGGTTGAAAAAAAGGAATGACGCCGTTTAGGCTATAGTCGACAGATTGACAAAGGCAGCTCACTTTTTGCCTATGCAAGTGTCTAATGATGCTGAGAAGCTCAGTAGGCAGTATGTAAAGCAGATTGTCAGACTTCATGGGGTTCAGTGTCCATTGTTTCAGATAGGGATCCCCGATTCACTTCACGATTTTGGCAGAGTTTTCAGGAGGCTCTTGACACAGGCCTGCATTTTAGCACTGCATTTCATCCTCAGACTGAGTCAAAGTGTACCATTCACATATTGGAGGATATGCTATGAGCTTACATTTTGGATTTTGGAGGTAGTTAGGAGGATCACTTACCTTTGGTGGAGTTTGCCTACAACAACAGTTATTAGGCCAGCATTGAGATGACACCGTTTAAGGCGTTATATGGCAGAGCTTGTAAATCTCTAGTTTATTGGACTGAGGTAGGAGAGATAGCTACCTTAGGACCCAACATTGTCATTGAGACCACGGAGAAGATCAAGTTGATTCGGCAACGGTTGGTGACAACTCATATTAGACAGAAGAGCTACGCCAACCGAAGGAGACGACCATTGTCGTTTGAAGTGGGAGACCCTGTGCTTTTTAAGATTGCACCACGCAACAGATTGATTCGTTTCAGGCAGAGTGGCAAGTTGTCTCCTATGTTCATTGGGCCATTTGAGATCTTGGATTGCGTTGGTGAGGTTATTTATCGCTTGGCGTTAACGCCACAGTTGGATAGGATTCACAATGTCTTCCCATATTTATATGTTAAGGAAGTATGAACCGGATCTGTCATATGTCTTGAGATGAACAGATGTGGAAATTGATGAGGATGCATCCTATGAGGATGGACTAGTTCAGGTTCTCGACACTAAAGAGCAAGTATTGAGGGGCATGACCATTCCTTTGGTCAAGGTTTTATGGAGACACCATGGCGTTGAGGAGGCTACTTGGGAGCGGGAACAAAAGGTTCGTTCTAAGTACCCGGATTTGTTCACGACTTCAGGTATGACTTGATTTTGGGGACGAAATCCCTTTAAGTTGGGGAAGTTGTGAGGACCGGGGTTCTTTTCCCATTTTCCCACAGTTATATTATTGCATTTTTCATTTTCAGGTCATGTGGCCTGGGTTGGGTCAAGTGTTCAGGAATAGATACTGACACTTACCATTTTTTTTGTTGGGGTCACATTCATCATTCATGGCACTTATGGGGCATTTTATACACATTTACATATTTATTTGTAGCATTAGGGCTTTAATGCATTTTGTTTATGATGGTGGGGCCCGGTTTGACTTGGTGAGGATTGTGTGGCGGAGGTTGTGTGTGAGGTATATATGATATATGTTTATATGTGTGTAGAGAGAGAGAGCCCAAACCACTCTCATCTCTCCTCTCTCATCTGATCTCTCTCTTTTCTCTCTCCCTCACCATTTTTCCTTTTCCTTCAACCCTTCATGCCTTTCACCTAGATGCTTTAGGCTTCTTGAGTTGCCTCAGAAGAGAAAACCGTAAGGGACAACAAGAGCAACAAAACCCTTGTTTTTATTTCGGATTTAGAGCACATTTCTCTTTGGAATGTCTAGGGTTTGCTCCTAGACTTGAGGTAGGGGTTGTTATGATTCTAAACTAGGTAAATTTTAGGGTTTTATGGGTTTGGTGCGTGACATAGTATCATACATGCATATGTATGCGTGGATTGAATTAAAGTGTAGTCTTGATGATGTAATTGCATGATATGAGTGTTTCAATGATGCTTTGTATTGAAATCCATGTATATAATGCTTAATTGACTCACTTCAATGAATGTATGAGATAACTTTGATGATGCTTTGTTATTTGACCTACTTGTGAAATTGTTCTTGAAAGTATGGTTATGTGAAGTTAATTGGGTTAATGCTTATATGAGCTCAAATGACTATGTTGCCATATTAAATGTCATTGCATTGGATAACATGCCATTGTAGAATTTCGGACTCTAGAGCATAAGTTGCATGATCTTGTGAGGTGCAATTTGGGTATATTACGGCATGTGCTACCTTGTGGAAATGGGATGATGATTTTTGGGATATACTTGAAGGTTTGTTACATTGAGAATGCAAAAGCTTGGCACTCGCGGGTGAAACATGAGTTTTCCCAATTTTTAGTGGCCACTCAGCTAGTTCCAAGCTCGTGGGTGAAACATGAGTTTCCCTAATTTTTAGTGGCCACTCAGTTAGTTTCAGGCAGGGTTAATAGCCCGGGAAAGACTATTTTATATTAGGCGCATAGCTTGTCTATGTAACCGAGAGCGTGGGTGTGTTCCGAGTAATCCCATTTGTTTGATTTCGAATCTTACTTTCAAGTTGGCATTCATGTGGTATTGCAACTTGTGACTTATACTTATTTCACTGTTGTGCTTATGTTTACTTAGAGTGAAATGGATGATCTTGTTATTACATGATAGTATATGATGCTTCCTTCTAGGTTCCCTTGTGACTATACGTTAGGAAGTATGTCCCATTGCATTGTATAGCTCCATCACACTTTTAGGACTCGAAAAGACGTAGTTTATTTTCATGCCATACTCCTATGGAGCAATTCGTTGCTCACACCCGTTGAATTCATCTTTTTCAGTTAAGGACATTGCCCACGAGGGTCTACCCATTCCCTAGCTCGGATGAGGCTTATGTTGGTGTTTTTGCCATGCTTAGTATAACATATTTTTTTATATGTATTCTTGGGACATGTAACTTAGTGACATTTGGCTAATTGTAATATACTTTTGAAGAGGAAAATGGCCCGGGAACTCACTTACACCTTTTGGAGCTCCCGAGTGATTCCTATTTTATCATCTATGTATCTGTATTCGAACAAAAGATGAACTGAGGCCATAAGGCCATTTCGTTTTAATGCATAGTATTCTCTATGAAATTGCACACTTATCATGTATTTGTACACACATTTTTGGGTTCACAATAACCATGTCATGATCCCAGACTTAGGCATCGTTTTTAGACCCTTTGGATTGCATATATGCGACTTAGACAGACACTATGGCCTTAGCATCATGAAAAGAACATTTCTGGCTGACCTGGGAACTTTCGGTTGGCCGAATGGAAATACTGGCCGACTGGTATCCTTCCATTTAATTTGAACAGTGTTGGCAGAGAGCATCCATTCTAGGATTCCTCAACCAGTCGACCGATTCAAGTTTCGGCCAGCCGGTTTGAGGCCGGTTGGCCATTGACTTTAGGCTGACTTGGACCTTCCTTTGAGCTACTCCTTGACTAGTTTAGGCTATGTATCGATGATTTAGGGTGTTAATCTCTTCGGTAAATGACCATTTTGACCTTAGCTTCAGCATTTCGGACTCGGTGTCAGGTCGGGTTTGGGTTTTACCCATTCATGCACCAGAGCCTAGGATTTGGGGCGTGACACAGAGAGCGTAGGAGGTACCTAGTTTTGTTAACATGGAAGACAATTCACCACATTAAATCTCTAAGCTCATTGCAACCACTTTGCAATGCATCCTCAGACAAGCAAAGTTAATGACATGTGAAAGATTCCCTAGCATCTCATTCACAAACTATGTTTTGCTCACATTCGATAAAAGTGAGATGGACTTTCAAGTACCATCCCCCCAACCACAACAACCAACCCCCCACCCCCCCCCCCCCCCCCAAAAAAAACCAAATATTCATGCATGTAGAAGATTACTTTCAGATTCCATGCAATGAATGCTGCGATAGCTTTATGTGATGATGCCACAACTATCATCTATATGTATATTGCTACTTGCAATGTAAAATATGAGCCGCCAAAAACACATATATATATTATGCTATGGTTATCGTTCAATTTAACAATATTAGCTTTACTCTGATGTATCTTTGGCTAGGACCTATTGTAGGATCCCAAACTTTTTCAATAGACACACATGACAAGGTTTCTTCTATAATGGATGCAAGTATATGTGACCAATCAAAAAATTTCAATGAAAAACATTGGACAATTTGGCAGAGAAAAAGAGAATATACCCATTAAATATACTATATCTTTGAAGCCTTTGAAATTGGAAAGATAAAGAGATCTGGAGGCCACAGGAAGATTTTCTTCATCCTGCTTATTATACAAGCCATTAACTGGTTGAACATCCATACCTATCAGAAAGAAAAAGCTGATATCATTTAAAGAGAAACGCATTTTGAAACTTATTGCATTAGTACTTCATTCAAATATATATATATAAGTCACAGTATCAAATTATCAATACTATGAAACAAATGGTAAACGCAACAGTTTTAATCACTCTAAGTAAGCATGTATTTTAACAGCCAATAGAAACTTACTCCATTATCTGTTATATAACATCACAAAACTAGGAATAATTATATAAAAAATGCTGGTGACGGTTGCAACTGATGTCCCTCAGCTAAGGATGAGGTGGGTACCACAAGACTCTAGATCTGCAGCACTGTCTCTATATTTCTCCATTACACTAAACAATAAAACTTGCAATCAAAATCACTACTCCATGAAATCCTATTAGGCTGATAGCAAGATCAGCAGAGTGGCTAGACTTAGGAATTGTGAGGCGAGATATCAAGCCATCATGTTATAGTTAATTGCCATCATGTTATAATTAATTTTGGAGGAAATACGCTTTCACCAAATTTCAATTGCCTGCCTGTACATTCAACACAAACACATAAATTTTGGAATGTGCTCAAACTAACCTCTTCCCTTAATGACAACGAAGTGACAGAAATTGGATGTGCATTACCCTTAATTTTACTCTTTATATGTATAAAATTCCATAAACACCATCATCATCACCTTATAGTCACCATATGCTATTGCCAAACCAACACTACCACCACTTCATAGATCTTCTCCATCATGAACCCCACCTCTAGTCATCACCACCTCCATTTCACCATTTCTCCCCAGCCCTACCACCAGTACCACTTCACTCCACCATTAAACCCCACAATATAATCATATATCTATGCACATACATACGTATTTTCAATACATATATAAATAATGTGTATTGTGAGAGGCAGCTAACCTTTCAAAAAGTGAGAGAGAGAGAACACGTTCAACAATCAGAGAGTAGAGAGAGCCAAATATCCAAGTAAAAAACCACCAGACCTAACAAACCAACCACAACTAAACTCATCCCATCACCACCATAACCCTGTCGTACTACTAAAATCAACCCCATTCAACCAACCAACCCACCCAGATCACCATAAGCATAATTCAATTATATGAATAGAATTGCCTAAATTTTTAATTTGATATCCATAAATGTTGGGGTCTCATGATTTTGGTTCTAAGGTGTGTATAAATAAACAAACACACACACACAAACATATGTATCATATAATGTATATACATACTCAATTGGTGGCGAAATGTTTTGATGTTGAATGTGCTGGTGATGGTGGTGTTGCGTGCCAACTTATTTTTGCTATAGAGAAATTGCATGACAAAGGTGTTGGTGATAGTTTGGCTAATGGAGGAAGTGGTGGTGGTAGTGTTAGTTCTTCTTTTTTTTCCCTTTTCTACTTTGGTAAATATAGTGACTTCATTTAAACAAACATTAAAAATGTCTGTTTAGGCTTTAAGGCCATATAAAATTCAATTGATATTACGGCCTTCTAGCCTTCTCATGAGCTTCAACTGCTAAGTCTCCCAGATATCTTTCTAATGTTACACCATTCTATCGGATTTACAGTAATACAGAATATCTAAAGTAACAGTGCTACTTAATGATGCTATTAGAGCTATATATAGTACTTAAGGAACAATAGAAGTTGTATGGAAAATGTTAAAATCACTAAAGTGTAGCATCACTGGGAGGTTCCCCATATAAGCACATGTATCAAAACTATAGCTTTGACTTGAAAGGGAGATCAAACCTCCAAAGACAAATTGATAAAAAGTGGTGACAACAGTGGTGCGTTTTCTCATAGAGAGAAAGTGAGTGGAAGTTGTGACGGTGGTAGTGGTTATCATTAATGGTGGTGATGGTGGGTTTATTTTAGGGGCATAATATAGGTGGAAGTGGTAATCTTGATGAGTTTGGTTAATGGAAGAGATGGTGGTAGATTATGTTCGTAGAGAGAGTAAATCGAAAGAAATGGTGATTGATTTGGTTCATGGAGGTGAATACTATATAAAAATATAGGTATTATGGTAATTTAAAATTTCCACCTATTCCATCAGTCAAATATGTTTTTGTCAAGGATTTGAAGTGTTGAAAAATTAACTATAGGAGGCGATATCAAATTCAGACCTAAATTCAGGGGGTGAACATGTAATGTATCTATATTTTAAAGAACAACCTTTGAGAGTACAAAACAATAAGCATACAACCTTATATCAAAAGCCAAAGCATAATATTGTATAACTTATTATCCATTACCACACTAACTCATTCAACCAACAAATGCCAAGCAATAGTAGTTGATTTCCAAGAAGAAAAAATGTTCTTTCCACCTTTCCTACTTTTGCTTAACATTGATTTGTATAAATTTTAGGAAGTAATCAGAGGATTTGAATTAGGATGTCTTAGATAATACTTCTTTTATTGGTAAGTGGATTTAAACAATACTTACAATACTAAAACAAGTTTTTAGATTATATATAAATTCAGGGGGTGAACATGTAATGTATCTATATTTTAAAGAACAACCTTTGAGAGTACAAAACAATAAGCATACAACCTTATATCAAAAGCCAAAGCATAATATTGTATAACTTATTATCCATTACCACACTAACTCATTCAACCAACAAATGCCAGTAGTTGATTTCCAAGAAGAAAAAATGTTCTTTCCACCTTTCCTACTTTTGCTTAACATTGATTTGTATAAATTTTAGGAAGTAATCAGAGGATTTGAATTAGGATGTCTTAGATAATACTTCTTTTATTGGTAAGTGGATTTAAACAATACTTACAATACTAAAACAAGTTTTTAGATTATATATAAAATAACATTTAATTTACATCTAGATGCAATTTTCAAAAGATTCAAATTAGAATGTTTAAGTTTAAATGGAATTCTAATTACACTTTAATGTTTAAAAGATGTACACAGATATAAGAGGCATATCAAATATTCATAGAGAGAGTGAGATGATAAACTAGAGGCATTTACAGTTGTACATCCATCTTTTAAGATTTCCAAGTCGATTTCTGCTTGAGAAAGGAAAGGGCATCTCTGCCACTGTATATAAGGCCATCATACCCCTGCCAAGCCCACCAGATGCCAATTCCGGATTGATTTCCAGCATGTTCAGTGCAAAACCTGTGGATGTAACAATCAGTTAGAGGTGTCTGTTGAATGTGCACAATCCCAGAAATGCACAAGGATAGCAGCTGTATATATATAGTGTCATCTAAGGTAGGTCATCCCCATGCAATTTTCCGATATTCATGCATAAATGAACTTGTTTGATCCATCAACATAACTTTTTATTAGAGTCCAGATGCTTACCATAGTTCTCACCCAAAATTGAATCAGTGAACATAGTATATATTCTATAATCTGAAAATTAAACAATTAGAGACCAATCAATAATCATTGTTAACTATAAGAAAGAGAAAAAGATGTTTCATTTTCATATATAATGACAAAAAATTTATGATGCTCACTAAGGTAATCAAAGTCAGACTGGGGGATATTAACAATTCTTGGGATTAGGTCCTGTTGTGAAGTCACAGAATGTAGATAATTAAACATCTTTGTGTTGCCAAAAATTGCAGCCAGGGTGACCGGGATATGTCCATTTCGATCTGTGATTTTTACCAATTCCCCATGGGTTTCCACCAATGCTTTCGCTATTCTTGTGTTTGCACCTCTAGCAGCAATATGAAGTGCTGTGTCACCATCATCTTGCGCAAATTCCAAAAATGCAGGATTAATCATCTTCACAAGTTCCTCCACCAACTGAACGTGCTCCTCGGCAACAGCAATATGAATAGCTCTTTCCCCTATCGTGGAAATTGGAACTGATATTGCATTTGGATCTTGAACCAGAAAAGCTTTGACACTTTCCAAGTCACCATTCACCAAGGCCCTATGTAAGGGTGAATATTTAGTTGTATCTCTATCAATCTCTGATGACCTGCAATAGGGTGCATATGCATGCCGTTACTTACAGGATTTAAGACCTAAATTCTAGTGTATATCAAGTACAATTATTCTCTCATTCTCAAATTTTACAACAGAATCTTAAAAACAGATAGAAAGACAAAAGTTCTAAAATAATATTCACTATTCTCAAAAGAATTGTTCTGCATCTGTAACCTCTAGTGTAAAATCATAAGTAAGAATATCATTTTCCTATACTAAGAGATTCGATTTTTCTACAACTGGAACGCATTGCGCTACTCGATCCAGAAATTTTTTTGATACTTGAATAGACCTGAAGGATGGGTAGAGGTGAATAGGCCTCTTGAATTTTTCCCTTATTTACACCTTTTTTTTTTTTTTTTTAAAACAAGCAAAATTAAAAATATATGTCAAATAAAGCACAGAAGCACCCAATACAGAACTACCTACCCAATACAGAACTACTTGCACAAAGAGAAGACCTGCATACTTCCATCGAAAATATTACACACACACGAGATATTTCACTTAAAAAAACACATACATTGTTGCTTCAAAACATAGGAGAACTCCTATTCATTCAGTAATTACTAGCATTAAACTTTGGCAAGATAGGCAATAAGATCTGATTGTTCAAGCAATTCTACACTGTTGAATTTTTACTAAAATCGTGTTAATTAGACATCAAATTGACTATTATCCACTATCATATATACGATTACCAAAGGGTTCATTCACGAAATCGAAATGGGTAGTCCAAAAATTATTTCAAAAAGGGTTTTCGATTCAGGGTCTCACCCATCATAGCGTAGATGTATGTGCTCATGCCGAAGCTCTTTGCTCTGCTCTCTGAGTTGAAAATTGAAACGAAAACAAGGGGTTTTTTTTTGGACGACGACCACCAAACCATCTCAGTGTTATACAAAGCGTGTGTCGAAGCTCGTACATAGGGGAAGCGTTTGCTGGTGCAATGTGCGAGGTCAAGAACACGAAAGTGCGTGTAATTAGTTCTATTAAATAAAAAAAAAAACTAAATTTAAAATCATTGTTAAAAATATCTAAAAAAAAATTAAATTTATATTAATGTATATTTTTATCATTATTAGGTAGTACATTACTCACAATTAATGATAGTTTTGTGTCAAAAATTGAAAGCGGACATTTTTATCATTATTACATTACTAGCATGTAATTTGCCCATTTGTATTTTTGTAATTTGTTTTTTCTTTTTCTTTTTTTTAAACCTTAGCATAAACTCACACACCCATTACAATAATCCCCCTAGAGGAACTCGAACCTTGGAGCTTCTTCTTTTAAAGGCAAAGATATACCACAAAATTACAATAATTGTGGACCTTTTTTGAAATTCTTTATAAACCCATTTTGTTACATATTTATTTATGTATTTGTATATATAATAACAATAATAATAATAATAATAACAATAATAATAATAATTAATTACCAATAATAATAATAATAAGGCATTAGTAAACTTGGTATTAAACATTATTTTTTTAGAGTTATCACTATGACAAGGTAAGGTATCAAACTATTGTATTTCGAGAAATAATAAAGAAGTTTGAAAACACAGATACTTCTCTTAAGGTGTTGTATTGGTAATTAGACACTTTTCGAATACGTAGATATTATGCGGACATGTGTTTAAAATTTTTTTTTCTGGTCAGATACAGTTGAGATACGGCATGGACATGACAAGGATATATTTTAGGCACTTTCATAATATACTCAATTTTAAATATATTATGGGTCAATTAAAAAATAATATAAAATTTAAGAAAACAAAAATATGATTATTATTTATTTATGATTATATGAATAAAATGACAAATAAGTAAATAAATTTATATATATAGAATGATATATTATTATTATTATTATTATTATTATTATTATTTTACGTATCCATTTCATACACGTGTCCTTTTTCTTTTTCTTTTTTTTGAGAATTATTGTAGACTGTATCCCTTATCCACCCCACTGGTATAGAAGGAAACTAAATGGGTCAACTATACAAACTAACTAGGCAATTATGTATTAATACGAAGTTGATGTCATAATTTGCTTTTTTTCTCTCATGCCAAGTTGTTTGGTCTCCAAAAGTCTTTTAAAATGTCATTTTCTTTTATTTTCATAGAATTTGCAACAACTTTGGCAATCACCATTTCCAAAAAATTTAATCAACCAAAACCCAAATGGTTGGTTACAACTCTCATTTCAGATTTTCCCTTCTATTACTCACACTCCTACAACACACACAAATAGCCGCCAAGAACTCGATCAAACTCTTCCCTGAAAAAGTAAATAAACATTTTATATATATATATATAGGATGAAATTCGTGAGAGCCTTAATCCACCGTCCAATTAAAATCCTAACATTTATGAAATTTTCTCACACATTTTATTTGTTATCCTTGAAAGGTCACCTGCTAACAATCATGTTTTAAATTTAGTGATTATTCATTTTTTATTGACTTTGTGATCACTTTCAGGCAATTTTAATTAAGTATGATCATTAAAATCTAATTTTTCCTAAGATATGTCTATTTATTTATTTGATTGTGACCTTGCCATTGATTCTACCATTAATAAAATGTCATTGTCGAGATTGAGAAATACAATTTTTGCAGTGTGGATTTTTTTTCCCCTAAAAATAACACACCTACACATTTTACTTTTGTAGATATTTCAACTCTCAATCTTTCATTTTTAAAAGTAGGATAAATACCACCGAACTACAACCCTTGATAGTATATAGCACCTAGTGTAGCAACTTTTTGCGAACATAAAAACTAGTCGAAGATAATATTAAAAAAAAATAATAATAATCTAGTTGAGGAGATTTGTCAATTTATTGAGGGAAAATATTTTCAATTTTTAATTAAGTTAAATATTATTAGTTGATTTTTTTTTTTTTTACTTTATTATTGTTTAAAGTTGACCCACCGAAACAAATTTATGGCTCCTCCCTAGATGCAAACATGACTTAAAAGGGGTAAAGATAGAGACAGAAATAAATATCAAACAAATAATTTCTGAAAAAAAATAAGAATATAAAAAAGAAAAAGAAAAAAATGCATAATATTTAAAAACTTACTATAAAATTTCTTACATGGTTACTTAAAAGTGGCCGCTCTTCCTCACTTTGATCCTCTTTGGGAAATGTATATCTTAAGTGGTTTAGATTAGGTCCAACGCTTGCCCTTTATAGTAGTAGTAACTAGTAAATAGCTCTAATATTCCTCTCTTCGGGCGGATACAGTAGGAGTTCTTCTTCTTCCTATCTTTTCCTAAAAGTAAAATTCTTTTCTTCAAATCACGTGTAACAACAATATAACTGTGCGATACAGCTGGGACACACGTGAGAGTCTTAGTAATTACTGAATTAGCGTGGAGTGTTAGTAATACCTAAATGGAGTAGTTTTGTAAGTAATTAATGCATATATAATAATATAAGTGTGTCATATAATTCGAAGTGTAAGTAATATATTTATATGGAGTGAAATCATTTGAAAATGGTGAATTAGAAAAACAAATTCACAAATCGTAAAAGTTAAATTAACAAATTTTGTACAAATCACAAATTCGCGTGCGAAACTTAAGAACGGAACTCTTTGGATGGATTGGGTGACTATATATATACTTAAACGTTGATTTGGAAGGGAAAAAAAAAAAACTAATTAAATATTGTATTTATCTTCTTCTTTTTGGATACAGACACTGCACCTGTGCGTCAAGAGGGGGTTCTTTATGTTCAAGTAAACAATACCCTCGTTGGAGGCTCCTCAGTCGAAATTTGGCACTATATCAACCTTTGACAATGAGAGGTTTTTGTTTAATAGCCTTTGCTTCTTCAAGAGGATCAAATGAAGAACAGTGATCGAAGACTTATTATCGAAATTATAGCTAAAAAGTAAAAACTGGCACTACATTAATCTCCATAGTATCATTGGTCTGATAAAGTTTGTGAAAGCCTTAATCCACCGTCCAATTAAAATCCTAACATTTATGAAAAAAATTTCAAACTTTTTAATTGTTTAACTAAATTATTCTTGAAAGGTCACTTGTTAACAATTATATTTTAAAATTGGTGATTATTCATCTTTTCTTGACTTTGTTATCACTTTCAACAATTTTAATTAGATATGATCACTAAAATATAATTTTCCCTAAGATATATCTATTTGTTTATTTTCTTGTGATCATCTTGCCATTGATTCTACTAATTGTCAGCTACAACTCTTAGTGGTATATTTAGCAGAAATATGTATCTAACATATAATTTCTGAAAGAAAAATAAAAAAAATAAAAAAAAATAAATAAATGGGAATATAACAACAACAAAAGCATGATATATATAAGCTTACAATAAAATGGCTTACATTGTTACTGAAAAGTGGTCCCTCTTCTTCACTTTGGTCCTCTTTTGGAAATACTTAAGATTAACTGGTTTAGAATGGGTCCAACACTTGCCCTTTATAGTAAGTATTACTAATATTCCTTTCTCTTCAGGCAGATATAGAAGGAATTCTTATTATTCCTATCCTTTTCTAAAAGTAAAATTCTTTTCTTTCACTTATAACAATATCGTGTTTATATATACCAATCTTCGGAATTACACTATATATATATATATTGTTATACATTGATGAAAGTTCAATAATTGGTCAGTATTGTTATTGTAATGCAATCTGAGATCAAAATCTTATCCGGCGCAACAGTAAAAATGTTACAGAATAGTGAGAATAGTTTGAAATATATGTTACGAAAATGTTAGGAAGTTCGGTGATCACTAACAATAAAAAATCAATCAATTTTGCCTAGTGATGGGTTAGTTGGCCAATGATGGTTAACTCAGTATAGGGGCCCAGGTAAACCCAATGAGAAATTGTTATTTCGTATTAATAAAAAAATTAATGCTTTGTTCGACGGCACCAAATCGAACATCTTGAATTTAGGATTAGAGAAAATTTAGTACAAATTTTGAACTAAGCATTTTTCTAATTCTAAATTCAAGGTACCAATTCGATACTCCCAAACATAATATAAGGAGTTTTCATTGGGAGTAGTGTAAAACTAAATATACAAGGGTAAAAAAATTTCCCCAAGCCCTCTTAGAAATTGATGGACAAAATTTTTAGAGGGTCAGTTTTGATTAGATAAAAGTAATAGTGAGAAGTGAAAGGTAAAAAAAAATAAATAAATATACGAAAAATAAATTTTTTTGCCTAGCATGAATTTTAATTTTTTGAAAGTTATGAATTTCAAAGTTTAGATAACATGAAAGTTACAATAAAATGTAATGTTTTACCTATATTGTCCTTATTTTTTATTAAATAAGATAAAAAGTCTAAATACAAATACTTTGTCTTTTTAGAAAATAAAAACAATATAAAAATCGAAATAAATAACTATGTAAGACATTTTGAGAGATATATAAAGTATTATACTATTAATATAAAATGTTATGCATAAACACAATTTAGTTTAGAGAGATATAAAAAACAAAAACAAATTTTCTTGTGTTTTTTTTAAAGAAAAATTTAAGGGGAAATTAAGTGGTTATGAAAAGTTACTTTTTCTCAAAAAAATTCTTTTCATGCTGACCAAAGTAATATTTTTCATTTCTTTCTAATTTCGTCTAACCAAACTAAGGTGTTGTTTGATAAATTGAAAATTAAGCACTGAAAATCTTAAGTGCTGAAAATTTTAAACGTTAACTAATAAATAAATATATATTTATATATTTTTTGAATTTTCAGCATTCAATAATAAGTATTATCTCTATCACTTGAAATTTTAGCTTATTTTAAGTGTCACTTACCTTTTTCAGTGACCTTCAAACGTACTTAATTGGGAAACTGATAAGTGTTTAATCATTTCAACAATTTAAAATAGATAATGAACTCAACAAAAATAAATAATAAAGAGGGGGGGAATTTCTGTTATTTTATTACTTGCTGATTAAACACACACACACATAAAAAAAAATTTAAAAAAAATAAAAATAAAATAATGATGTTTCAAGCTAATTAACATTAGAAGACAAACTATAGCTTAATGAGGAGTAAAAGAGTCATTTACTTTGGTAATGTCAGCAAAGTAAAACATATACTGTATTTATTGTTGTTTCATGAAATAAACTGTCATAGTTTTCAATTTCATTTATGCTTCACCTTCATCTGCCCTGCTTTTGTGTTTCATTATTTGTACAGAATATAGACAAGAATGACGTTGATAATGTATACGCACTCTGTCATGTTTGCCCAATAGCTCTGTGAGCTATCAACTAAAGCCAATAACATGTCTCAATTATTGTAAATTGCAGTGAGGGTGAGTGGGAATTGTTCATCTACATTTTCCATTAGAAAGTTGTATAAATTTTTTTTGTTGTTGACAATTTCTGAAAATTGTTTTAAAAAAACTGTTTAAAAAAAAAAAAAAATTACACACACGCATGATTTCATATAATTGTCTTTTGTAGTTTTCTGAAAATTGTTTTGAATTTTTTGAATTCATAAAAATTGTTTTTAAAAAATTGAACCAATCAGATCCTAAGTTTCTTTTTATTTTTTCAAAAATAAATAAATATATAATTTATATATAATCACAATATACACACACACTCACATGTATAACAATTACTACTTACAGAAATAATCAGTACATACCACATGCTGTAAAAACAAAAAACAAAAAAGAAATACATACTACAGAATTGAAGTACCTAGATGGACTGTTCTTACATGGGATTAAGGAAAAGCTGAGACTCCTCTTCACTTTCGTCCACCTCTGTAAGTTTATAATTATATAAAATAGGTTTAGGTTCAACAGTTGCCTTTTATATTAATATATATTATTCCTTCCTCTTCCGCCAGACAAACAAATAAAAGTGTTAATTCTTCTCACAGTTGATTCTGCCTTGCTCTCCAATTCAGGACATTATTTTTTTTCCTGGTAATGTGGGAATTCTAATGCTTGGACTATGATATTTTTTCACACATTAATTAAACGGTGATGATCACTTCACACAAATTTAACTTTTTTTTTCTTTACATATTCACTTTAGCTATACTTCTGAGTCTTGTGATTTAGATATATATATATATATATATATATATATATATATATATATAAATTTAAAAAAATATATACTCCTATTATACATACGTAGTAAACAAAGTGTACAAGCCCCAAAAAGGGAAATGGTTAGCCCAAGGAACTAACCAATAAACATAACATTTGCAAAACCCGAAAAGGGAAACCAGGCCCAATTGGTTGGAGGGCCAACCAGCAGCATTTCAAATGGAGTAGACCGTTGGAACAGAGCAGCAGATCCTCAATCCGGAAACAGCCATTTGAGGCAGGACTCCTCAAGTTTGTTGATCAGGTGGCTTCGCTGGTGTACGTCTAGCAACCTGTGAGTCAGTGAGGGAAGTTGTCATTTTTAAATCGGAACTGAGTTCGGCGAGAGTTTTTCTTCTTGAAGATCCTTGCGTAGTTGTGTTCAAACCGGACATTGTAAACAAGGGATGCGAGGGCGAGTCTTGAAACGAGCTCTGACCAAGATGAAGGTAGAATATGGATTCTGCAACGTGTTCGTAGAAATGACCACAATGGATTGACAAAGGAGCATTTGAAGAACAATTGATCATGGGACTCGGGCTCACTGTTACAGAGAACACAGTGTTGAATTTACGAATGATGTGCAGCTTCGGTTCAGGGTAGGGAGGCCATGTTGGGGTAGATAAGCTGACGCAAAGGGCCTGAGTAACATCAACATGTAAAAACATCATAAGCAAATTCTGTGTACATGTTGACCCAAACATGTGTTAGAAATTTGTCTAAAATTCATTTATGACATGGCCAAAATCTATTGGCTATAGAAGTGTAACGATGAAGCTTCCAAATTAGCTTCCAAAGGAAGCTCAGAAATTCTTGGACAACAAGAATAATTCTTGGGCAACAACAAGAAGTGCCATTTGGCTTTCAAAGAAAGCTTTGAAATATGCTTGGACACCAAGTATTTTTGGGCTATATATAGCCTTGCACTCAAGAGCGGATCTAAGGGTGGGTGAAGCTGGGCTTCAGCCCACCAAAAAAAAATAATAATAATAATGGTAGCCCAGTCCAAAGTTAACCTAGTCCAAAATTAGTCCACCCTATTTAGAAAGGTTGGATCCGCCCTTGCTTGCACTCATTCGATGAATAATATCCAAGCAAGAGACAATATTCGGATGAAGAGAGTCTATTGGTTTTGTGTGTGTGAGGAAATCCTTTTGTGTGTGCTATCTTTAAGTGACACTTGAAGCTTGTCTTTGAGTGGATTTTTCTCTCCGTGTAAATCATATACTATTTGGGTATTTCTTGAGAGTGTTGTGTGAGTCTTCTTTATAAGTGAGTTAGTGATATGAGAAGAGAGATTATTGTGAGAAAGAACTAAAAAGTTTTTCAGTTTGTAATCTTCTTCTTTATAGTGATACGAATCATTACCGTCCGTGAATGTAACCCTATTTGTGAGGGTGAATCACGTATTTACAAAAACCTCATTTTGTAAATTAACTACCACCACTCATAATAGATACTCGAAATGGTAAAAGGATGCTATCTCCAGAACCTGGGAGGGAGGGATAGAGCAAACCTAAAAAATATTAATCCCTATTTTCCACATCAAAACAAAGACCACCTTTGTTCACCTCATTATATGTCACATTCCCATCAACGATGTCTCTAACAGGATATATATATATATATATATATATATATCGCATTTCAATTAGCAATGTCTCCAACTGGAATTACCAATGATCAATCACCTCACACTAGTGGTTCAATAATTCCACCTTCGGACTGCAACATACTCGATTTTTTCATTTTCCTCAAAAATTCAAGATCATAATAGAGTTAGCGACTTTAAAAACAATTTTCTTCCTATTTCTTGAGTTTGAAATGTCAGAATACAATTTTCTTCCTATTTCACGAAAAGATATTTGCAGCTATATACAGTAATAAAATTTGAAAGAATGTTCATTCCATCATTCAGGAAATAAGCACACACTATACTCTACTTTAAGCTTCCGTGTAACTAGAAGTGCAAATAACAATAAAGCAAAACCTTTGATAAGCATCTAAATGACATAATAGTACAATTTTATTTTTATTTTCTTTTTCTTTTTTCTTTTTTTGTATATTGCACATATATATATATATATATATATAGGGAAAATTTCCAACAAGCAAAAAATTAATTATTATCTAAGCTGGATCACAGTAGTTTGGGTTGTCGAAGAAACAAGCCTTTTGTTTTCCGCTTGAAGATGCCAGGTCCATAGCTAGATGAAACCATTTCGAAAAATAAAGGAAATTGCAAAGAAACAAATAAGGTTATCGGCACACTAGCTAACAACGAGACTGGAGCAGCAGCCCATTGTATTCGTTCATCAAGCACAATAACAAGAGTGGAACCAAAAGCTACCATCATGGCGGCAATGGATAAGAAAAGGGTGGCCAGACCAATTGTCAGTCTCCTGGGTAATGACTTTAGAAAATCTTCTTCCGCATAGCGTGAAGTGAGAATGCTTAGGAACACTAACACTGCAGTAACTGAAGAGAATAGAGATAATGCATCTGATATAATGAAAACCATAAAGGAGTTATGCCATAGGAACATGGGGTTCCCCGAATCATTACTAGTGCCACCCGGTAATGTGAAGGCTGCTGCAAACATAACAGTAACAATGAGGGTAGCCACAATTGTACAAGATGTTGCTGTCTCTCTCATCCATTTTTCTCCTTCTTTGATTAATTCATAGTGCCATTTCCAGAACAAAGCTGGAGGTGTTTCTCCATTATCATTAGCGAGAATTTTTTGTGAACACGGTACCACCCTCTCCACCTCCTATCATTATCAATACGAAAGAGAACGGAATAATGTCAGTTCACAAGTACTTACAGTCACGCTAAAAGCTTCGTTCCACTATATATATGAGTTTATGGGAGGGCTCAAAGACACTAATAATAACATCAATAGGTAATATTGAAGTTGGAAAGGAAAACCATACTCCGAATGGATGGGAATGAATTACTCCAACCTAAGAATCCTATCCCCACCTTTTAGCATTTCTATTGCAGCGCAGAAATCAATCAACCCCATCACGCTCTGTAACAGCGAATTGCATCTACCTAGGCCAAAGTTTTTTGAAAAGGTTCTGCCAAATCTCTCAGAAGTTGAGGTTTACAACAACGAGCTAGGGGATTATAGGAGCTAGATCTTAAAAAGCACCAATATATGTTAGAACCTACAACCCATCAAACCACTCCTACAAGATGTCTAACATCTGTATAAACCTAGGTTTTCTCATAAGGTTTATAAATCATGGTTTTTATATTCTTTAAGAAATAAAATATTTTGAAAGCTTTCCCACAGAAAGTATGCTGCATGAGATTTAAAAATTTACTCATATAAAATGTCATCTATGGCATGAAGTTCCACAAAAGTAAACTAAAACCAGAGGTTTGGATGATGATATAGAAAGTTAAGAATGGATTACCTTGTACCATTGTAGTTCTCTATGCACATCCATAGCTGCACCTGGAGCATTACTGAATACTTTCCAAAACTGTTGTTCTCCTTGCTTTTCCGAGTTTCCATCTGGTTTTCCTAGGGTTTTAGACAATACTGCAGGACATGCAGCTATATGTAGCATGCTGTCAGATTTTACTAGAATTTCTGTAATTTTGTTTCTTTTTGCAGTACTTAAACCATAGAAGAGGTTCCATATTCTCTCCTGTCGGCAGGCAACTGCAATGTGAAAAATGCTTCCACTTTCCTTATTCCCCCATAATAAAGCAGGATTGGACCTCAGAACTTTCTCAACAAATTCAACATTCCCACATTTGATGGCCCTTTTTATCGCCTCAAAGTATGCTGCAATCTGTTGAGGATCAGAAGTCGAGTTTGGATGACACATCTTTTTGAGTAGTTCATGGGCTTGGAAGAGTTTGTTCTTCATGTTAAATATTTCTTGCTTGTCATCTACAATTCTTAACCAAGAAGAAATAGTTTAAAAATATAAAAACTATTACCAGTACAATAACCATATAAATAGTAGTACTCTACATACCAATTACTTTAAGAACATTCGACATTAGTCCTTTCAGACAACGGAGCACTGTTATGATAAAAAAGAACAGTAACACCGTCAGAATATATCTAATTAACATTTCTAAAAGATACAACATAGAATGAGTTTGAACCCTAGCATCTCCTTATATTGGCCCTCAAGTCACCAAGGTTTAAGACCAAGTTCTATGGCCCAATGGGTTTCTCCTCTCCTTTCAAAGCCAAAGCTAGAGTGTTCGAGTCTCCCAAGATCATTGTGGGAGTTACAGAATATTTGCCAGGACACAAGAAGAGAAAAAAAAGTTACCAAGGTTAAGATGACCAACAATACGTATGGGTCTTCCACAGAGTACGACGGGATTTTAAATTACAAGGGCAATGGAAACTACTACAAAGGTGCATTTAGGAGAGAGATATTTGGTCCAAATACTGTATGACCCAGCCAATATGAAATGTTCAGAGGGGCTGAATAGATACAGGCCTAATATTTGGCATAATTTGCATGAAGTAGATGACCCAAAGAGTGCTACAAGAAGTCATGATCCCAGATAACATAGGAGGCACCTAGTTTTGTCAACATGGGAGACAATTGACCATCCACATTAAACCTCTAAACTAATTGCAACCATTTTGCAATGTCATCCTCATTTAAGCGGACGAGCAAAGAGGATGATGAGTGAAAGATTCCCTCGCATCTCATTTATAAAAAATGTTTTGCTCACATTTGATAATTTGAAATGAACAGATTCCTCTGTTTCTATATTCTTCTTTTATAAATATATGTAAGTTGACATGAAACCAAATATCTGAGTCTTTTTCAGTAGACACATGACAAGATTTCTTCTATAATGGATGCATTCATGACCTTAAAGAAAAACATTGGACAACATGGGAGAGAGAAAAAGATAACATACCCATTAAATACATTACATCTTTGAAGCCTTTGAAATTGGAATGATACAGAGATTTGGCGGGCTCGGGAATATTTTCTTCATCGCAGTACTTATTATAAAAGACATTCACTGGTTGAACATCCATACCTATTAGAAAGGAAAAGAAAGGCTGATATCATCTAAATAGAAACACATTTTGAAACTTAAGATTATTAGTACTTCATTCAAAAAGATAAAAAAAATGTCACACTATCAATACTACAAAACAGATTGTAAATGCAACAGTTTTAATCACTCTAACTAAGCATGTATTTTAACAGCCAATAGAAACTTACTCCATCATCTGTTATATAACGTTACAAAAGTTGGAATAAATATATAGGAGAAATGCTGGCGACAATTGCAACTGATGTCCTATTACGCTGATAGCAGGATCAGTAGAGTGGCTAGACTTAGGAATTGTGAGGCGAGATTATAAAGCCATCATGTTATAATTAATTTTGGAGAAAATACGCTTTCACCAAATTTAAATTGCCTGCCTGTAGATTCAACAAACACATAAATTTTGGAATGCACTCAAACTAACCTCTTCCCTTAATGACAGCGAAGTGACAGAAATTGGATGTGCATTACCCTTAAATTTTACTCTCTATATGTATAAAATTCCATAGACACCGTCATCGCCTTGTAGTCACCATACGCTATTGCCAAACCAACACTACCACCACTTCCTGCATCTTCTCTATCATCAACTCCACATCTAGTCATCACCTCCTCCATTTCACCACTTCACCCCCAGCTAAACCCCTACCACCAGTGCCACTTCACTCCACCATTAAACCCCACAATATAAACATATATCTATGCACATACAAGTGTATTTTTTAATCATATATAAGAGACAGCTACCCTATCAGAAAGAGAGAGAGAACAAGTTCAATAATCAGAGAGTAGAGAGAGCCATACATCCAAGCACAAAACCACCAGGCTTACCAAACCCACCACAACTAAACTCATCCCATCACCACCATAACCCTATCGAACTACTAAAATCAACCCCATCCAACCCACCCAAATCACCATACGCATAATTCAATTATATGAGTAGAATTGCCTAAATTTTTAATTTGATATCCATAAATGTTGGGGTCTCACGATTTCGGTTTTTAAGTGTGTATAAACAAACACACACCACACAAATATTTGTATATACATACTCAATTGTTCGCGCTATGTTTGACGATGAATGTGCTGGTGATGGTGGTGTTGCGTACCAACTAATTTTTGCTATAAAGAAATTGCACGACAAAGGTGTTGGTGATAGGTTGGTTTATGGGGAAGTGGTGGTGGTAGTATTAGTTTTTCTTTTCTTTCCCTTTTCTACTTTTGGTAAATATAGTGATTAACTTAAACAAACATTTAAAACGTCCTTTAAGCCCATATGAAATTCAATCGATATTATGGCCTTCTAGCCTTCTTCTGAGCCTCAACTACAAAGTCTCCAGATACCTTTCTAATGTTACACCGTTCTATCTGATTTACAGTAATCCAGAATATCTAAAGTAACAACGGCACTTAATGATGCTATTAGAGCTACACATAGTACTTAAGGAACAATAGAAGTTGTATGGTGTTGAAGGATTTAAAAGATGTACACAGATATAAGAGGCAAATCAAATATTCATAGGGAGAGTGAGATGGTAAAATAAAGACATTTACAGTTGTACATCCATCTTTTAAGTTTTCCAAGTCGATTTCTGCTTGAGAAAGCAAAGGGCATCTCTGCCACAGTATATAAGGCCATTATACCCCTGCCAAGCCCACCAGACGCCAATTCCGGATTGACTTCCAGCATGTTCAGAGCAAAACCTATGGATGAAACAGTCAGTTAGAGGTGTCTGTTGAATGCGCACAATCCCAGAAATGCATCAGGATAGCAGCTGTATATATTTGGTGTCATCTAAGGTAGGTCATCCCAATGCAATGTTCGGATGATATTAATGCATAAATGAACTTGTTTGATACATCAACATAACTTTTTACTAGAGTCCAGATACTTACCATAGTTCTCACCCTTAATGGAATCAATGAACATAGCATATACCCTGTAATCTGCAAATCAAACAATTAGAGACCAATCAATAATATATCATCGTTGACTATGAGAAAAGAAAAAAATGATTCTTCATAATCATATATAATAATAATAGAAAAAAATTAAGAAGCTCACTAAGGTAATCAAAGTACGGCCGGTGGATATTAACAATTCTAGGGATTATATCCTGTTGTGAAGTCACTGAATGTAGGTAATTAAACATCTCTGTGTTACCAAAAATTGCAGCCAGGGTGACTGGGACATGTCCATTTTGATCTGTGATTTTTACCAATTCGCCATTGCTTTCCACCAATGATTTCGCTATTGTTGTGTTTGCACCTCTAGCAGCAATATGAAGTGCTGTGTCACCATCATCTTGTGTAAATTCGAGAAATACAGGGTTAATCATCGTCACGAGTTCCTCCACCAACTGCACGTGCTCCTCCGCAACAGCAATATGGATAGCTCTTTCCCCTATCGTCGAAATCGGAACTGATATTGCATTTGGATCTCTCTCCAGAAAAGCTTTCACACTTTCCAAGTCACCCTTCACCAAGGCCTTATGTAGGGGTGAATATTTAGTTGTATCTCTATAAATCTCTGATGACCTGAAATTGGATGCACATGAATACCGTTACTTACCGGATCCTGGACCTACATTCTAATGTATCTCAACTACAATTATTCTATAATTATCAAATTTTACAACAGAATTTTACAAACAGACAGAAAGACAAAAATTCTAAAATAATACAGTATATTCACTATTCTCAAACAATTATTGGCATCTGTAACATTTAGGGGATCCAGAAAATAATTTAATACTTGAATAGAATACATGGGTAAATAAACCTGAATGAGAGGTGGGAATAATTTATATATATATATAGATAGATTTACAAACAAAATTACAAAATAATGAAAAATAAAGCACAAAAAAATCCAACACACAACTTCTAGCACCGAAGGAAGACCTGTATACTTTGAAAATATTACACAAAAAAACAGATGATATTTCACTACAAAATCCCATACCTTGTTTGCTTCAGAACATAGGAGAACTCCAATTAATTCAGTAATTACTAGCCTTAAACATTGATAGGCAATTCCAATAAATCTGATTGTTCAAACAATTCTACAGTGTCAGATTTTTACCAAACTAATATTAATAAGATATCAGAGCTACTATTATCCACTATCAATTATACGACAATCAAAGGGTTCACACAAAATTGAACTGTGTCGTCCTAAAATTATTTCAGAAAGTGGTTTTTTTTTTTTTTTTTTTTTTTTTCCTCCAGGTTCTCACCCATAATAGCATGTTATATGCCAATGCCAAAGCTCTCTGTTTTCTATCTGAGTTTGAAAATTGTGTAAAGTATCATATTTTCTTTCATTTCTTAGGATTTGAAACAACTCTGACCATCACCATTTGCAGAAAATTAAATGAACCAAAAACCAAAATGGTTACAACTCTCATTAAATACCATAAAAATATATGGAGTAGTAAAGATAAAGACAAAAAAATAAAAATCTAACAATTAAATCAACAATGTAATATATATTTATAAACTTAAAAGAAAAATATCTTACATGGTTACTGAAAACAAAAGTGGCCGCTCTTCCACTTTCGTCCTCTTTTGAAATAAAATGAGAATTCTGATGCTGCTTGGTCTATTTTTTCTTCCTAGAGAACCTGCCAATACCCATGTCTTGATCTACCTGAGTGTGATTTTTAGTTGTTTAGTTACTGTTGATATTCGAGATATATATATATATATATATATATATATATATAATATACCCATTCAAGACACTTGTTCAAATTCTCTGGCTTAACTTTGACAGCTATTAATAAAAGTCGCATGTGATAACCTAGATATATAATACTAGAACCCCATATTTTTACACGTGAGTTACTGGTGTCGTGTCAATAATAAATACATATACTTCTACTTTTTAAAAAATATTCAGAGTATACTCTATTTTTAAATTCTAACACGTAGTGGAGGATAATTCAACCACATATATGTTGTTGACCATTAAAAAGTAACTTTTTAAATAATATTATAATATACTATAATTATAAAGAAAATTTAAAAATTTATTTAAACAGGGACGATAGAGATTTAATATAAAATTTATTCATGCAAAGTATGCAAGAGACCGGAAAGAAGAAAATGAACAGGGGTAGAGGGAAAACTTTATGCAGAAAATGACTCCATATGCGTTCAAAAGTCAACAACGTTCACATCACCTATACTTTTTGTCACATGTTTTTTAAAAAATTTTTTTTTACAAAATTATATAACTTAACAGTGAACGGCGAGGGTTTAAAGTCAACAGCCGTCACATGATCTATTGACCCAGGCCAAACGCGACCTTAACTTAAGGACACTTCAGGATAGTGATAGCAACTTCAGAGGATGCTTGCTTGTTTTATGATTTGTGATTCTTGTGAAACCAACTCCTGTTTTATTTCATTGATTCCTTGTTTAGAACATATTACTGATTGTATTTAAATTCATAATCTTATAAAAAGAAAAAGACAGATTAAAAGTTCACTGATAAAGAAAGAAGCCATGGGACTTTATTTGAGTCAAAAAGTTGAGTCACGGGAGCTACAAGTTCACTGGAAAAGGAAGCTATAGCTACAAACTCACTGATAAAGGAAGCTATAGAACTGATCAACGGTCACGGGAGCTGAAAATATGAACTCAATTCCTTGGTTTTAGAGTTCAAGCCATCATTATGACATATCATATGGAAATTTTAGGGCTATAACAAATGGTAAAAAATAAGTGTGCAAGCGTGTGTTTCTTCTTGTTAAGGGTAATAAAAGCAGTTGTGTGTAAATAATTTAGCGTCCACTAATTCATTTCCCTATCTTCCCACCCTGCTATTATTTTCTAATGATTTGTGGGTGTTTATTTCACTTTGTTGCAGTTGTGGAATCTACCATTGATAAACAAACATCAATCAATCAATCAATTTTGCCTAATGATGGGTTGGTGACTTGGTGGGCCACGATTCTGCCTAGTCCAATTGATTGCTTGGTAGGCCAGTAATTATTACCCCTAAGTCCATTGAATTTAATTTAATGCAACTTCATCCTCCCAGAGCAGGCTTTGAGAGTGCAATTTGAACGAAGTTAGATTCTCTTTTTGGCCAAGATCTAGAGAAATTGATCAATACAATTTTCTGTTATTTTAGTGACACGTATTGGTGGCCCAAAATTAGAAAAATAGAAGGTAAGACAAGTAGACAAAGAAAGGAAGAATTACTCAGCGCCAGATAGAATCCAGCAAAGGATACATCGTAAGGATAACAAGAACACTGTTTTAAGAAGTCAAAAACTCAAATATCATTCAAATTCATCAAAAATTGCCTTTTAATACATCAATAGCAGCTTAAATATAGATGGCAAGGAATAATCCTTCAACAATAGATGATTTTCAAAACAAACTATGAAGAAAATGAAAAGACATAAAATTTCTTTGACTCACACCTAACTAGACTTAAGGACTTAAAAGTCCATCAAAAGAAGGCCTAAAAATCAGCAAAATAAACTTGAAAACTGATAAAGTACAGTGGGGGAATCGGCCACAATTGGGCTTACTCCTCCGTGCTTGCATACAGTATCTCCTCATTCTAAATTTTGTAGTTGGTATCTCCAAATTGTTCTCCAAACATAATATTGAGAACCTCAAAAATATAAGTGGAATAACAAATTTTGGATTATAGTAGATCCGTGTGTATACATAAACTTATTAATGAATCGGATTTTGATCTAAATTCCATTCCAGTTCGATCTGATTAGCCAGATATGAATTGAACAAAAAATAGGATAAATAGATTACGATCCGAATCCAATACCCTATTAACTTAACAAATCGAATATAAATTATATTAATCCGATCCGATAAATATTGAATCCAAATAAAATTATATATTTTATTATATATATATATCAATCCTCCTATTAGATTTGTATTAGAGGTAACCAATATATATATATATATATATAATATCATAATGTTATATGTACAATAGTGTAAGTAATCTCACCCACGTACTAATAAATTTCATAATATACATACTAATAATGTCATAATATTTATTCATTAACAAAGAGTAAAAAAAATTTTCCTTCTATATTTTATTTATCTTTTGTTTTCTATAATTTTTTTTTCTAATGAATATTTTTTATTCTCTTTTGACATTAATTTATTTTATTTTCTTTTTCTTTAATAAAAAAACTACACATTTATCGGATTGGATTGGATATCCGTTTTTTAACAAATCGGATATGAATTCACTTACAAAAAATCCATCGGATTATCGGATCGAGTAAAATGCTTATCGGATTCGGATCGTGTGATGCCCCTCGGATCCGAGACACGGGTTGATCAGGCCCAAGCCCAAATCCGAGGGATATCAGACAATTAATATTTTAAAAACGAACACGAAATACAAAGTGATTAAAGAAATAATATAATGAGCGGAAAGAAACTAAAATAAATTCTCAAATATAAATATTTAAATCTTGACAATCCAAACTCCATAAGTTTAACAACTCGGGAATCCATCTCTAGTGGACCCCTAATAAAATCCCAAACTGCATGGAAGAAAACTGAAGATAAAATTCAAATCTAATATCTGGAAAGAAGTCCTACGTTATCGGTAGAATAGAAGTCTGTATCTGCTTTACACGATCAAACTCTAACCCTGGAACTGACGAGTACCTGAAAAATATAAGGGTGGGTCAGGCCCACATGCAAGTCCTGATCTATTACAATCCAAACAGGAATCCGATACGCAGATACATACTAGAAAGACTTAACAATATCTAGAGTAGTCCATATATGTACAAGTACACACTATAGGATGCTCACTAGTCCAAAAAGGTCTGTCTCAGCCTGAATAGAGATACCATGCAAATCGCACATACTGTGGTCATGTGTATCTAGACCTACCAGGGAACAACACCTCTGTCCAGCTATCCATCCTAGGCAGTATACGCACCCTAACCATGGTCCTGAGACTCAAGCTCATACCATGGCACATATAATAAATATATAAAGTCCGTGTCCTCCTATTACAAAATATCAACCATCTGAAAAGTGGTTTGATAAATGTAAAGCAAATCCATCCTGAAACCATATTAAGTCATTCAATTATTTGATTGATATGACACCAGTAGGTGATGGACTTAACTCATAGGGTTAATCCATACCTTAATCCAAATTAGATAGGATTTAGTGTTTGACTAATCCATACCTAGTATGTCACCATCCCATACCGATACACACAATCCTCCATTATAACATAGTTATTAAAATAACACTATATAATCAACAACCATCCTCCAGTATATGCATTTGTATAAATTCATACATATACCAACATTAGGTATTCACTACAGAACCAAAATATCATGCTCCAATCATTTAAGTAGCTAGAATAAGACATAGCATTTAAATCCTCCAAAACAGCCAATAAATTGATACAAATTAAATATCAATTTAAATCCAAGCTAAGTATAGTTAAATGTAATTAATTTACCGTACTCATAACACTGTAAAAATATATGATTATTGTAATACCCCTAGTTTTCAAAAGGATAAAATGGGGATTTAATTTTGATTTTTATTGCATTTTTTTTTATTTTAATTATGTGACTTATGTGTTTTGTTTTCTTAATTGTTATATAGTGAATTGGTTTGTTTAATTGATTAAATGTGAATTATTTGTTTTAGATAAATTAATTTATTTTAATTGTTTATTGGTTTTAAATTAATTGTTTAATTGAATTGGTGTTTTAAATTAATTATTTATTTATTTTAATTTAATTGGTTTTAACTGACGTGTCTTGTTTATGGCTTATATGGTTTATATTTTAGGGTTATTTTAATTTAAGTTAGGGTTTCATTTATTCATGGTGTAGCCGACTTGTAAATTTAATTGAATTAAACATAGGTTAAATAATAGCCTATATATATAAAACTGTATGGTCTGCTAGGGTTGGAGAAACAAAAACAAAACCCTATTCACGAAATAGTATTTTGAGAGGAAAACAGAGAGGGTTCTTGAGAGAATCTGTGAGGCTAATGGAGGAAGGATAGAGGACGAGCAGAGGAGTTGCTCGTGGGTAAGTCAAGAAGCAACAAAGGAATAGAAGGTTTATCAAATGAGGAAAACAATCTGGGGAATTCTGAAACGTAGAGACGGTGTAGAGGTTTTAATTCAAAATCTCATAGGCAAGTTTCATTCTATCTCCTTCCTGTAAACTTGTGTTCTGTGCATTCTAAATAGTCTCCAGGGATTAATTAAAGTTTTAAAACTAATAATTGATGCATGTTTGCCGGACTGTAATTGAGGAACCTTTGAAATAACTGAAGCTTGTTTCTTTGCATAAACGGTGAGGATTATGTGTTAAACTCTTGTAAATTAATTCATAATGGAATGTGAGGAGTTGCTAGGATGGTTAAGAAGTTAAGTAAACTTTAAAACAGATGTGTATGCATGACAAACTAAATTGTAATCTGTGTATAATTGTTTCACATTCTGTAACTGAAGTTACTTCGTATGTATAAACTATTGTGAGCTGGAGTTAAACCTCTGTAAATTAATTTGGAATGGAATGTAAAGAGTTTCTAGGATGGTTAGGAAGTTAATTAAACTTTTAAAATGGATTGTATGCAGGTTAGAGTATTTCTGTAATTAGTTCTGC